TGTGAAAGTAGGAAACTATGGTAAGATGATCAGTAAAAATGTGGTATTTGAGACTTTGAGTTTTTCTATGATTTAGTTTTTTTAATATCCAGAATAATTTAAATTGTGTTTTATTCCAATTTAACGTTGCAATAGCTAAGAATACATTCTAAAACAGACCAAATCGGGGCAATATTTCAAGCTATGAGCCTATGACTTTGATCAGCAAAATGAAACATTTTAATTGTTGACCCAAAAAATGAAACATTTAATTAATTGAGTTTTATTGACACTCTTAACTAGTTTGAGTGAGTTTTGGGAAATTATAATAACTTATTTTTTATAAAAGATATTCAAATTCAAATAAACATAAGATAGCTATAACCCGAGAGACATAGGATAGTTATTTACATAAATAAAAGATAGTAGTGAAGAGTAAGGTCATACATTTGGGTAGACATAAAAGTAGTTTGCCCGCAACATACAAAGAGTAAGGTTATACGATTATAATAACTTGTTATGACTTATGAGCTTAAAAGTACATTTTATTTGTTAACATTGTAAGTGTTGTTTGAGATGAATATTGACATAAACCAATATAATAGTTTTTTATTTATATTCAACAAATACGCTATCCGTTCCATATTATGTCTTTTCAAATTGTTTCACGCGCGATAATAATATGTCAAACCTAGTAAGAATGATACATAGTGTAAACTTGAACTGAATAATGATTATGGCATTTTCTAATTGCCAGCAATTATTTAGATCTTGATACTATTTAACTCAATGGCAATTAAGCTAATTGCAACCTTCTATGACATGTCAAGTTAGGTGGAAAGAAACCTTTAGCTTATAATATTGTGGATATTAATCAATTAAAAGCAGCAAGAAAATTAAAAGCACTGAGATTGAACTGAAAAAAGTTGGTTAATGGACATTCGACATAATGTTTTGCATATGGAAAGAATATCCATGTGCTTTTACAATAAGCCCGATCGATCAAAAAGTTTGATCTATCCTTTAAATTTTTTCCATTGCTTTAAAATTAAAACGAACTTTAAAATGACACACATTGATGATCTGGACTATTTGAAGTCATAACGAACATTACAAGAAAAAAGAAGCATCATTTGGAAGAAAGATAAAACGTGTTAGAGACTTATAGAGTTGTGTGTATAGATTTTGGGACAATTAAAACACCAATTTCCGCATTTGTTTCATATTGAAACCAAACCATAAGTCTAAATACTAGCAGTTGAATCTATTTTAAACAATTCAGCTGAATCTAATTGAATTTG